TTGATGATGGTATGCCATTACATCCTGCGTAAAAAGGGAAGATAAAATTACCCTATGCCACTCTATGATATAACATCACATAATTCGCTCAAAGGACCACTATGTGAGGAAGGCAAGATAGTAACAACTTCATCCTGACAAAAGGGCGAGGAAAATCGGACAATATCGTTTCTGAAAACCTGATACCTGAAAGAAGCTCTAACGCAGAGCAAACAAAATGATTGTCATTTTCTTAATGCCTCCTTTTCTTTTGCTGTGAACACACATACAAGTCATACGCTATTACACATTCAGTGGTGCGGCTTAATTTACGATAAATGCTTTTTTTTATATAACTTCGAGCTTTTAGAGAAAAGATTCAATATAATGGGCCGGACATAAATGGTTGCTATGAACTTTACACATAAATGGTTGCTATGAACTTTACACACATTTATACATTATCTGATATCATAAAAGCACTAGAGCAGGGTAGGGCTGTACTGCATCAATTATAAATTTCTAACCAATTAAAAGTTGGCATTTATTTAATTTATTATTATTGGCTATTATTCTTTGACAAAGAATAACATGGGCGAGTTGGTACGTTGGTAGTCTTTCAACTCCATCGAATATTCAGGTCCTTTTAACATTTTTTTTTATGCTTTTGCTTTTTCTAACTGCTCTGCCTTTTGTAGCGGCTTTCGCCGCCACTAAAAAACGTGACATCCAAACTCACTTTATTCACAACACAAAATCGCAAACTTGGAAAGCGTGCCGCTTCGGCATACGCAAAGAGATCGTCCGTCTCTACGGCATAGGCATCAGCACGGGCAAGAAATGCTGCTCGCTCTTGTAACGTTTTTCACGCTCCCGCTTTATGAAACAAATCGTTGACGAGAGACTGTCGGAGCCACACCTCAGAACTAGCATGACCTGTGATTGCTTGAACTGTCGTCAGACTGTACTCGAACGCTCCGCAAAAGCGTCGTCGGGCGACCGTCGTAGGGACGGCGCCCAGGACAGGCCCTCGGCTGGCCCTCGGTTCCGCCGCACGCGAATCTTTCTCACTCTGCGGAGAGAGCCATAAATTCTGAAGATACGCTCTTTTCAAATAACGAAATAAAACCGGGTAGAGCATAGTGAGAGTCAAGCATAGCTTAGCAAGCACACGGTACAAAACAAAGTTTGAAACAGCGGCGCACTTCGCAGAAACAAAAGGAACTTGCTCACCTTCGCTTGCACCAGTCGGCCATGACTGTCCGCCACTTGCGACGCTGTGTCTCACAGCTCTCAGTAATCGCTTGCTATTATTGAACACGGTATTTGTCAGTAAGGTATCTAAAATATCCGCAAAAACGGCTAAAACGTAAAAAGGAAGCCATGCTCGGACTCTCCGGAACTCCAACGGCGGCCGAACGGAAGCTGCGGAAGCCGCGGAAGCTGATTGCAATAGCGATGGTCTTGCGCAGTTTTCAAAAGTCTCTTCTTTTTTTTTTTTTTTGAAGACAAAACTAAGCAAATCAATATATTAATAATAATAATATCACTTTATTATATTCGTAAAAAATTAACAAAACGTTTAGTCTATCTTAGGTTTTATCTAAACTTTCGGTTTTATTTTTCAGTGTAAAACCGAAACTATCTCAAGCAATTTCTCCCTTGTCGCCAAGGCTATTTTGATTCATCAGCGCATGGTTGCACCGCTGGTATTTCGGCTTTTCTGGAAGGATCGGCTCTCGCGGACATAAATGATGAGGGCAACCTCGTGTTTTGAAACAATGAGCGTGCCCGTCTTTTTTGACGAGGGAAAGACACGTTAAATTTACGTCGATTTTTTACAGTGTGGAAATCTCGATCGACGGTGTTGTTCGTTGTTGCAATTGTCAATCTCTTTTCACGTGAATTGAGATGTCAGAGTTTTGCAAGATACATCTACACCATGAAACACTTTCGGTGAAAGCTTGAGGTTGTGACATAAAGGCGCCGATTTCTCCAGCCAATTTCAGAGCGAGCTTTCATTCATAACATCACTCCGCTTACGCGGTTCGGAAGTTGATTTGCGCTGCATGCGACCATGCAAGGTGGAGGATCTTATGTCCCCATTATTAGCCGTGGTTTCTTTTGCCTTCTGTCCTTTTGATTGTTGTGGATGCAGATATCTGAAACAGCGTATAGTTACGCTGAGACCTGCATTACAAAAACACCAGATTATCCTGCAAACGTAATTTGTCTACTAGCCTATGAGGCAGAACGCAAGTGGCGGTGCACTTTGAAAACAAAGTCATGTGCATGCTTTTTCATCAGCAGCATTAAACACTTGGTGCGATTGCCCTCGATCGCCCAGCTTCCGAATAGTGCTAACAGTTTTTTTACAGTAAATTCTTATTCTTCAATAAAGGTAACAAATACAGCTCAGGGAAAATAAAAGCTATCTTTGCAATAAAAGTAGACTGTTCAATTGATAAATATAGTAGAAATGACTAGCTAAAACAATTATTGACAAGTTAGAGAACGCTAATTTCCGTGGCGTACAATGTAGCTAATTTTTCTATTTGTGCTTTTTTTTAGGCGTAAATCCATGTTGTATTTGCGACGTAAGTATGCTCTGACAGTGCCGGTCGTTTCTCCGGGGAACTTTTGGACCACGTGGTCTGCAGTGAAATGAGAAATGAAGCATCCCTTTGTCACATTACGTCAGCTATACCCGGTGATATTTTTTAATCAACTGGTTTCAGGAAAATTGGGGGCTCATATCATGTTGATGCACTCTTCATGTGTGTCGTGCGACTCGGCGGACATTACATGGGTGAATAACCGTGGCAACATCTTTTTAAGTAATTAAAATCCGTAAATTTACTTTTTCTTATTATTGCTGTATTAGAGGCAGTCGTTATTGGAGCCTAACACAATCAAAACTATTCACGAAACAGCAAGGGGCTTTAAGATATTTATTTATCAAATTTCGCACTTTTTCCCTCGATTCAAAAACCACGCGCGGCAGGGGCGGGCAAAGTGGAGAGTGAAATTAGCAGTTTTGACATGGCATATCGGTGATGGCATGTTTGTTTGTGTTAGCGAGAACTTCTCATATTGGAGTTCTACGCATTATTTAATTTTCTAGTGAAGTTACAACCCTCATAAAGTGCTGTCGCATTCAGCATGAACAAAGTTGTACTCTTTTGAAAGCGTGCCTTTGGTGGATGCTCCAGCATCATACTTCCAACGGTTCGACTGAAGGAAATACGTAAGAATAGCATCCTGCGCTCTGTCCAGTGCGCTGTTTTTAATCAGGCGACGAAAGGCAGGGTTTTAGCTATGAATAACCCAAAACTCGTCACCTTTTCGCAAATTGTTTCAGTTGGGCTAGAGTTTATTCATAGCCCCTTTAAAATTGAAAATTCAACATGATCAATTACACTGTAAGTTAAAAAAAGTTAATTAGACAACGTACTGTTACGTTTCTTTACTCATCTAAATTCCTCCGGGCTCTACAAATATTCTGTGAAAACGGCATCGGCCTCTCCATCACGTTTTTAAAGTGTTGATGTTAAAAATCGCACTATATATATATATATATATATATATATATATATATATATATATATATATATATATATATATATATATATATATATATATATACCCGTTATTATAATTTGAGTACACTGACTGCAAGCACTGAAAGTAGACCTTTAGTATACTTAAGTGCACTTTCGGTATACTGATTTTGAACTACTTTTTACCGGGCGCACTACGATTCTACTACATGTACTAGTTTTGTACGGACGAGTATACTTTCAGTCCACCGCCATTTTTACTGGAAGTATACTTTAAGTACACTTAAAGTATACAATCAGTACAAAGACCGCACTGAAAGTATACTTTTAGTATACTCCAGTACACTTCGAGTGTACTGATTTTGAACGACTTTTCGCTAAGGGTTCCAATAGAGAAAGTATCAGTTGCCTGTCACAAAGCAATAATTAAACGAACATAAGAAATGTGCAATCTTCTTTTTGATATTTGACGAATTTTTAAGAATTTTTTTAACAATAATATTGGGATATTTATAACAACATAACAAAGTTAAAGACGTTTAAATTTTATGAAACAAATTGTGCGACGTTTAGAAGAAATCGTGTTTTTATTTAATCATTGAACGATGCCTAGTTTTACGCCCATAAAAAAATCAAACAACTCTCACGCCAAAAAATAAAAAAATAAAAAGGAAATCGGCGAAAATTTGTCAGGAAGAGTGTGAATACCTTGTGGTAAAAAACCACGACTTTTCTTTTAAAAATCGGGAATGGTCGAGCACAACGTCTGGGACTCTTGGCATGGAATGACCCAAAAGTGACACTGATATGAGTACATGTAGCATAGTTAATTGGTATTTCACACGCAGTAACATCCACTACAACAAGAGAGGACACACCACCCATCGTAAAATATGCGAGGAAGAAGAGTGGGAAGCAAACTTGGATTTACCGGAATATTCCGAAAAATGGCCCACCTATAGCTTGAGAGCAAATTGTGTGAAAATAAGTGGTGGGGTAACTTTTGATGCACAACCAAGAAAAGTTTAAAAAAACAAAAAAACGCTCTTTTTAGTTTATGTTTTCCTGCCAAACAAGTTGTAATTGCGACGGGGGACAATCAAGCAAAAATGACTACCTCCCAGTGGGCAATGTTCGCTTACTATATCCCGCCATAGCTAACTAGCCCTATTTACGCCGAAGCAACCGCTGATCAGAACACTACGATTACTAGGAGTGAGCTATTTTTCGGTGTTTAAAAGAAAATAGCAACTCAAGCCAAAAATAGGGGTGAGTTATTTTTCGGTGGTGGGACATCTCTCAAAATATTACGGCAGGAACCTAACGATAACTTGCACTGCCTGGTGACCGAAATATGGACTAGAGGAAAGATAATGAAATGCACATGGTTGAAGTTCCGAGTAAGCGTTACGTGGCGGCATATAAATCGGGTAACACATATTTAACGTCATTTATTTTCAGGTACCTTAGGTCTACGTCGAAACCTCGAACGTCCTAGACATGAAGTGAGGAGCGTAGCTACCAGAATCGCACTGACTGAGCGTGCAAACGAACTCCAGGTGGGAACCCTTCGTCCAGCAGGGTACACCCTACCGCAAACGCCAACTCCGAGCCCCACGGCGGTCGAACGTCCAGACACTGGTGGCACAATACCACAGACAAAGTCACTATTTGTATACAAACATCGCAGGAAGCAATGTTGTAATCGAGTCACTACAATATTGTATATGACGAGAGTATGTTGTAAATGTTATGTTACAATGATGTTTTAATAAACTGTGAACACTTGTTACTACATTCATCAAAGCTGTAACGTAATGTCGGCAGCTTGTGCGGCATGCATGACTAGAAAGTACAGAACATTTTCAATTATGAAGTTTAAGCAAATCGTCTGTCATTGAATAGCAACGGGAGAAAGCAAGGCGATTCGTCATCACTTCTTAGAGTATACAATCGATTTCAATTATTTCGCCTATGTTCGTTTCCACCGAAAGGAATAAAAATATAAACATGCGAAATCAACCTAAAGCCTACTGAAATGCAAGAAGTGCGCTGACTTTCTGCAAAGTCGGTGTTCTAAAATTAGTACCTCAAAAACGTTTAATCAAACTTAATATTTTTCGTGCATTAAATGTGAAAAGTAATTTGTTAACCTAAAGGCTACATGAAGTGAGCTTATTCAAAATCAAAACATGAATAATCATTCTAAACATGGTCTTCTAATTTCGAAGTCCCTTCTGCTCTGCGTTGAATGAGATACGTGTTAGCATATTGGATATGCACTTTTTGGAGTCGGGAAGTGAGTTAGAAATGATGGCAATCATGTTTTGATATGTCTTATGCCCTCACGTGATACGACAGATCTCACATGATATAATATATGTATTCAATGTGATGTGCTCTCACATAGAATACACTTTGAGCATAGTGAAAAAAACAATTCCAGCTTTGTATTACGTAAGGAGGGCCAAACATTATATTTTAGCAAAATGGTGCGGCGCTGACTATCTTCGCACATTATCATCAGATGTGCGGTGGTACATAAAATATAAAAACAGGTTTCGAACTATTAGTGTCCCTGGAATACTCGGCGCTATTCTAATGCAACTGAACAACGAAGTTAACAAGGAAGAAAATATAGCTACGTATCCGCGCAAATAAAAATCATGTTTATCTAGTGAAAAATGTGATTGATCCGGAGTTCGTCTAAGCACCAAAAATATTACTCTTAATGAAGCCGTTCACGCTGAGTTGGTTTATTGTGGCATAAGATATCGTCATATCGAAGAGCACTCGTATGTATCAAATTTCGTGTAATGAATGTCTGGAAAGTGGGAGGATAAGCCTGAAAGTTGGACAATCGAGGTTTTAATTTACCGATGACCAACGGGAAGATAAGTGCTAATCTCTAACTCCGTTGGGATCGTTGAGGACGCTACCCGGGGTGACCAAGCATAGATATATTTATCCCAGAAGTATGCTATACGTAATGATGTTAGGGAAAACCTATCTTTTATCTGTACTTCAAGATGGTATTGTTTAACTGTGCAGATAACAGGTTTGTTTTACCGAACGTCTCATGATCAGATTTTGATTGTAACTTCATATACACGTAAACACAAATTCTGTTTAGTTATTGAAAAATGTGCTTAAGACTGTGTTTGTTTGAGCACTCTTAAGCACTAAAATATTGCTTTAAATGAAGCCGTTTACGCTGAACTGATCTATTATAGGATAAGATATCCTATCGAAGCGTGCTGGTATGTATCAAATTTCTTCGAAAAAATGTCTGAAAGTGGGACTATACGCTGCAAAGTTGGATCATCGAGCTTTTAATTAATCAATGTCCGACTTGAAGATAAGGGCTAATCTTGAATTTCATGGGGTCATCAGGGACGTTACCTAGAGCGACGAGCACACACGCACACACGTATATATATATAAAACGAAGTCTGCTCTGTGGCATTACCCAATGCAAGCATGCCTCTTTGCATTGCGTAATGCCACAGCGCAGACTTCATCTTTAGCTCTAAACTGATGTCCCGCCTCATCATTCGCTGAGCTGATTTCGTAGATCGCAGAGATTGGCTCTTCAAGTGTTTTGCGGGTAAGTAAACGCGGAGGCATTTTTTAAAGTGCAGCAACCATTTCCTTTTCCTCGCTGCCATGGACGTAGAGCCGACATGTGGAGAACCCTGGACTCGACCAATTTGCTTTTCATTTGGTCTGGTTGGATATGTCGCTCGGTTTTGTCGACGTCGGTGCACTGGAAGCTGTAGTCTCTCCCCCCCCCCCCCCCCCTTCCCACCCCCATCACCACCACCACGAGCTTACTATCGACCAGGCTTCGCTGGCAGTTGTCGAAGTGATGCTTTCCAAGATTACTCTGACTACCAACGACAGCACCGACCAAGCAGATCTCAGTGTCCCAGACTTCGCTCGCTGTCTCTTCTCCGCCCACGTACGAGGTCTCCTGCTCTAGAGGGAAACTGTTAAAAGCAGTTTTAGAGACTAGAACTGCAAATCCTTCTACATCCTTAGGTCCTCGGCATATTACACAAAATAGGATGGATATTCTAATTGATGGTTTGCACGTTCAAGCATTAGTTGACACCGGCGCTGCAGTATCAGTCATTAGAGCTGACTTTTGTAATCGCTTGAGGAAAGTCATGACCCCTTTTGCTGGACGTCCGTGCGCAAAACGTTGTCCCTACCTGTGTCTGCACAGCACCCATTGTTATTCAAGAAATATGTTACTGTGTCGAAGTTGTGGTGCTTCCTTCCTGCTCTCACGACGTGATTCTTGGTTGGACGTTTTGGAAGCTACTGTTAACGTCCAGAAGCGGACTTTGCTGAAATTCGGCTTCGTGAAGAAATTGACGCTGTCGAAACGATCAAATTACTGCCAATAGAAGACAAAAGAATTCCTGCATTTTCTTTTGTGTTCCTACCGATTCACTCATCTAGACTCGAAGTGCTAGTCCTAACGGCATCCCCATCTGCAGTTTTTTTTCGCAAGACACGTCGCCTTGGTTCCCTTTCCTTGCTCAACCTTGACAACGGTCATGGATTTATTATGGCTGTCAATGTCTTTTTTCCAAATAGTACTTCCTGCCGGTCCCTCTCCTACATATTGTTGTACATTAGTCCAGCAGCGACATGACGAAGACGAGTTTTTGTCATCCACTGGAGATGGCCACTTTACCAATTTACTGCGTAAATTTAACGCCATATTTGATCACACACAGTCTACTTTGGGCCGTTTCATGTCTGTAGTCTACCACATTGATACGGGTATGGTGCCTAGAACGCGTCTCCGACTGGTGTGTTTACCGCGGCCAAAAAAGTGGACCCTCGATTTTCGCCTGATGGTGTCATACAAGTGTCATGCTGTCGCCGGTCGCGACCCTGGCGGCGTCCCAATGGTTGTGGTATAGTGGCAGACGCCTGTTCCGCTGCAGGTCGCTCTCCACTGTGACAGTCCACGGAAGCTGAAGCAGCCGGAAGTTGGGACGCCTGGGACGCCGTGAGGACAGCGACACTCGCGTTCGCTCGTGCTTTTCGCCAGCTTTTCTACGGCCAACCGCCAGGATCGCGACAGGCCACAGCATGACACTCCGTCTTGAGTGACGTCCTTTGTTGCCACTTCAGGACCACTTTTGATATATAGGCGGGATAGGACGCTAAACATACCAGCCGAAGACGCGATCTAGCCACCATTATACAGGCAACGAGAAACCCTTACGTCACCCTTCCATACCGTGTCTCAGCATCTGAACGAAGCATAATTGATGAAGAACTTAACGACATGCTAGACAAAGGTGTCATCACACCATCTACGAGTTCGTGCTCTTCCCCAGTCGTCTTCGTCAAGAAGAAAGATGATAGGATAAGATTCTGTGTTGACTACCCGCGGCTGAACAAGATTACGCGCAAGGAAGTATATCCAATGCGAAGAAGCGACGATGCCCTTGACAGCTTACAAGGAGCCCAGTATTCTTCTCCGTTCAGACCACTGGCAGATTCCCATGGCCTCCAACGACCGAGACAAAACCGCCTTTGTTAAATCGAAAGGATTTTACGAGTTCAACGTCATGCCCTTCGGCCTATGAAACGCGCCCGCGACGTTTCAACGTATGACGGATGCCGTGTTGCGCTGCCTTAAGTGGAAAATATGTCTGTGCCATTTAGATGACGTAGTTATATTTTCAAAGACATTTGAGGAGCACCTCCATCGATTATCAACCGTGTTGTCCTGTCTCAGTCACGCCGGCCTCCAGCTAAATGCCAATATGTGTCGATTAGCGGCGCGGCAAATAAAGGTTCTGGGCCATCTCGTGTCCAAAGACGGAATTCAGCCGGATCCTGAGAAAATTCAAGCCGTTTCCAACATGACAGAGCCAACCACAAAAAAAGAACTTCAAAGATTTCTTGGACTATGTTCCTATCTTTTCCGCTTTGTGACTGGCTTCGCATATGGCGGTGGAATACCGCTGGCGCACAAAACTATTTGCGACCTGGCATCCTTCGAGGTCCTATACGATTCTGACACATGAGCCACCCTAACACTATCCAAAAATAAGACACTATTGTAATTAAAAAAAGAAATATACATTTTGCTCTCAACTGTTTGCTTATATCGTCACAACCGAGACTATATTAGACACCATTACCTTTCTGAAAACCAAAACCAGATACACCAAGCGTGCTGCTTACTCAACGAGAACCCGAAATTTTCAGTCTTCAGGAAAGTATGATATTGTAGTTGGCTCACACTTAACTAAAAGTGTACAAAAAGACGTAAAGAAAACAATCTTAGATCCTGTGTAATAACCACAAATACACTCTCTGGAATGAAGGAAAAATGTAGATATTAACCCTGCGGGTTCGTTATAATAAGGGTTCCGTGTTTTAGGATAAATCCGAAAAAATCCCAAAAACACTCGCCCGTAAATTTTCTCTCAACTGAGATTTATCCGAGAAACTCGGAATTTTGAGGTCACAGCGGCAAAATAAAGAGCAAAAACGACGTAGTTTTCCAACTAAGCTTTATAGGAGCACAACGTGAGTGGTCCCGAGGAGTTTTCACTTCAGTTTCCTGTGAAATCTAGAACTACTGACAAAAGGGGTTTGCCGTTTAGCACGTCGAAGTTCCTTCGGGACAACGGGTGATGGTACCCGGGCCTTATTTGTATTGTTTTTGAATATTTTATTTACGCAGTTAAATAAAGTTTGAATTTCAATACATTGGTAGTCTACAAAAATACACTCCAAGAAATCCCGAATCCGCAGTGAAAAATAAACTCCAAAAGACACCCTCCGAATTTCACAAAAAAATAAACTCTGAAACACGGAATCCTACTTATAATGTGTTCATGTATGTACGGACAGACCGTGAATGCACATGTGAACATTCAAATGTGGAGAGAGTTGTATTATGTCGGAGCCTTCTTTTATATAAATTATTAGTAGATGCGACTAAAAAACAAAGGAGGAACCTTGAAATGGCCAACACGGCGCTTTATTTCTATCGGAAACGCTGGTAAGCGAGGCAAGTTGACTAGCTTTCACAATGACAAACAAAACACATGAGCACATATTTACAAATCTGAATGCCCTTAGAAAAAAAATTAGGAGGAAGTTTGAAATAACTGTTCATAAGCACCTGAGCGCTTATCTTGTATATCAAGACGTCCATGAGCACATCTCCGTAAAAAAAAAGAAATCAGTTGTAGTGAGGGCGCAGATTCACGCACAGTTGAAACCACTGGCCGAGTCCAAGCGCAAAAACACTAACAGCGTATCAGTCCGCGACTAACTCCTCCCTTGTGCCTTGCTCAGGAGTTGATGTGTTTCTCGAACCATGAGGTGTACTCAGATACCCTTGTATAAAGTCCAGGGAGCAACGGCCTGGCACATCCGAAGCCAGCCGATATGACGCCGATAAGCACGTATCTTGAACCATCGTAGAACATCATCGGACCTCCGGAATCACCCTGAAAGGTAAGAACATCCTTCAGTAAAGCGGGGGTTGATATATCTACGAATTTTACGTCAGGTGCCTGGCGTTTAATAAAAAGGCGGGGAATACAGGGACAATTGAGAACAATCTACTGAGTTTACAATATAGTTACAGTTTGCCTAATGCCCATCAAAGCATTGAGTTAGCCGTAATCAAATTATAATTACAAAGAAAATATCTTGAAATTCAAAATCAATGTCTGCGTTCGGCACTCTGGATGCTGGTTGGGACAGAGTGCGCCACAATCGTCCAAGTCTCTTGTGACTGCTTACGACCGGATGCGCAGCCGCTCGTGAGCAGTCGCAAATGTGTGAGGCAGTTATAACAAGCAGTGAGAGAAGAATTCGACTTGTAAGAGACAACACCTGACAAGCGTCTTTCTTGCCTTCCTTGAAGCCCGCGCAGATCTGTGTCTTTTGGAGCAGAACCAACTTTCCCGACTGGGCGTACCAGGAGTTGCAGACCTCGTTCGAAAGAATGGGAACCGTGACTTTTTGAAGGACATCCTTTCGGGCTCCTTGGAAGGCATCCACGAGGGAGTCTGCGAATGGGACAAAACGATTTTCATTAGGCAGCGAATCTCAAAACTGGGGAAGAATTATACTAGCATTCCGAATGCAGTTACGAAGATTTTGAATGACTCTTTGCCCTAAATGACCCTCAAGGTACATCCTCACTTTTGTAAAAGCCAGGAGTGGTGCTCCCCACGAGCTGCACAATGTTACAAATCCAATGTACCCGAAAATTGCCGATATATTTGGGGCAAGGAATATAAAAATAAAGTCCTTAAAACAGAAATTTTCGCCGACTACGAAGGCTCTAGGATTCCCGCTTCCTAGTATATGATGATTTCAAGGCCGACGTATACAGGGGGTACCGAAACAAATTTACAGGTTGATTTTCTTACTTTTTACCGGAGAATAAAACTACGCATTGCCTAACGCTCTTCTTCCCCCGAATGTAGTCGTAGCTGTCCGAACCAGGTGCCAAATTTTAAGAAACAACCGTTGTGTTATTTTAATATTGTAATTGATATTCTGAAATCCTCAATGGAAAAATGGCGGCCGGCAGAACTCTCAAATACATGGAGCTGAAAGGCATAAGTTACCGAAAACTGGCGGAAACTTGCCCTATTTTCCCATTGATATTTTCGGAAAATAACTCATAGCCTTTGAATGATATAACAGGTAGTTCTGAAATTCTGGCACAGGGTTCGGTCCGCTAGCGCTATACTTGGGTGGAGAATGAGCGCTGAACGATGCGTAGTTAATGAAGAGTTTTCGTAGAGCATTTTTGCCGTCCCGCAACCCGCTACGATAGCCGAAAATGTACAGTCAAGGCCATCTACGCCAAGCGCAATAGTGGCTTCTTCGTTGCGGAGGGATTTGCGGGGGAACGGGGGGGGGGGGGGGGGGGGGGGGGGGAGAAGGGGGAAACGCGGTCTACAAAACTCTGTAATGTTTCTGGTTAAAAAAAAAAAAATTGTAGGTGGAAGGGGCGAGAGACACGCTGCATTTGCTTGCTCTTGTCTCGTATTTTTTCTCGTTCAAGATTTTAAAAGGGTAACATTTCCCGCGAATAACCAAGTTTTTACGACTGTCGTTTCCATTCAATAATCGCAGAGATCTAAGGCATCTCAGCTAATGCCAAATGCCTGATATTGCAAGCACTGGAATTGACTGCGTTTTATTTGTGTCTGCGCGTTCACGTGTGCGAGCATAAACAATCGGGACTGACAAACATAATGTACCTCATTACAAAGGTAATAGTATGTTTTCATCATGCAGAGATCGGAATTTTTTACACGCGATAGTTGAGGCGTTGCTGAAAATATGTTGTTTACTGTGTATAGTGTTCTCTCTTTTTTTTTTTTTTTTCCATGGCACGTTTTTATTTGCGGATTCGCAGGCGGACTGCGGAGACCTACTGATTTAAATTTTACGCCAGGGTCGAGTCGATTTGGCCACCTGGCTCCAAAATCCACTTTCTGCCTGCCTGGATCAGTTTGCGAGTCTGCGAGTGTTAACGCGCCAATTATACAACATTCGCACTGTCATTTGAATCAGAACCGTAAAGTAGATTCACTCTTTGTGGACACAAAATACGTGAAATTATTTTAAATCTCTCGGCCGCCGTCCGTACAAAAAAAAACAAAAAAAAAACGAAGTGGAGAGCGTTAGATCTCGAGAGCTTACATCGCTGGCCCCGAGAGAACGAACATATATGGGAGCGACGGGAACGCAGGATTATGCGTTCTCAGATTGCCGCGACATATTGGAAATGTTCATTTTCTTGTCAACTTCAGTTGTCTTGATTTAATCCCGCAGACACGACTTTTTTTCTTCTTTTTTTTTTCAAAAATAAGAATAAAGCTACTGATCTTACAAGGGGAATCTCCATATCAGTTCCTTGCGTTTATTACGCGGCTTCACCGGGTTATTGTTTATTACGGGGCTTCACCAAGCGAAATATGCGAGGAGGTGGCAGGCCATTTTTCTTAAGTGTGTTAAACGAACCTTATTTTAACAACTGCCTCTCGAATTTCAAGAATTCACTTCACCTGCCATTGGAAATGCAACATGTGTTTTGCCATAAAGCAAGATTGATACCGACTATAGTCGATATCGATCTTGCTTTATGGAAAATCTTCTCCAACCTCGCTCCGCTTTATCAAAGAGAACGACGGGTTCACAGATGCAACATGAAAGGTGTTAGAAGAGTTCTGCGATGGTCTGAATCTAGTGTTTATTAATTTGCATGTCCATTGCGATGGAAAGATAACGTGGGATAGGAACAACTCCCACGCAACAACTGACTACAATCTATTGTCCCACAAAGTGTACAACAAATTAGTAGGCATGGAAATGTATAAGAAAGGTACACGCATTATAGAAAGTGACAACAAGAGAATTCATTTTTAATTTTGAGATGCAGAACCCGAACAAGCTCAGGAACGGGAAGGTGAATCAAGCCTAAATAAAACTTATGAAACTCGAGGCACTATGAAATTATAATAGATACGAAGTGGTCAGGGACATATGGAAAAGAATTATGGTGCCCGGACTGTCACTTGGCCATTGAATACTGTGCACGAAATGAGAGGTTCAATCAGGATGGGAAATTCGACAAAGGAGCGTTGGCAGTTTAGCACTTTCGAGAGCAGGGGTAACACACAAAATGAAATTTCCACGGTTTCTCGCCCTGTATGCGTCAGTGGCGCCATCTGTCGTTATCTCTGCCAACTAGCGAGAGGCCGGTGCTGGTTCTCGGCGAATATAAAACTAAACGCAGATATTCGTACTCAGCACCAAAAAAACAAATATATCGAAGCTAATCCTCTTCCTTATTATTTAAATTGCCGATGCGCTGCGTATCTCATTAGAAATACTGTAAACAGTTTGCTCAAAAAATAAGCACTGAAAAAATTTAGTGGTTCGATGCACTAGATGCACTGCAGGAAATGACTGGCAGAGATTCAATACTTCCTAGACAGAAGAACTGTACTGCTGTATTCTCGGCGCCACCTAAAGAAAGCTAACGTGAGGCAGATGCCGCTCGATCGCTGGACGTTTATCATCGCCCCTTGTTACGTAGGAGGCATCGACAGATCCTGGGAAAGCACAACGTCCGAGGAAGAATAATCAACAGCAGACTGCCTCACCTTTCTCGACGTCCTTGATGTTTCCCCACCCGGCGATTGTGGCCGATCTCCCTGTCAGGTTGATCGTGGTGTTCGGGAGGCAGATGGGGATGACGTAGCGGTTGAACTCGATGTCCTTGGACAGCTCCAAGAGAGCGATGTCGTTATTGTAGCGCTTCGGGACCGAGTATTGCGGGTGGATGACGTAGCGCACCAGGCGAATGTCTTGGATGGCATGGTCGGGCTCAGCCTCTCTCACGTTGTACTCTCCCAGCCGCACCGTGAAGTAGCGAGGGGGTTTACTGCACGCGCATGGAAGAAAAAAATGACCGCCATTAATAAACCATGAAAATGTGCAAAATGTTCACACAACTTTGCCTTATCGCTATTTTAAAATATTGTAATAGAAAATCAAAAGGAGGTGGAGGAGTCAGTCATGTTGCCTACTCCGCATTTAGTGTTCTTGACTACAGCATTACCTGAGAGGCTTTTTTGTCCCTAGTATAGTTTATTGACTAATGAGCAAGGTAGTTTAAATAACCTACACTTAGTAAGGTAAAAATTACGGCGGTCCGCGTGCATTTCAAATATATATTGAAAGCCATTATATTTCCTGTGGAAAAGAGACACATGAAAAAGGCGCACGAACATCCATGAGAAGAAAGATTGTCTAACATTTTTTTCGCTAATATTCCTCGTTAAAAGCGCACTTTCACTGCGCTTATTTCTCAATTGATTATCATATGTATTTCTCAGAGTCGGGGCTCCTATTGTTGAAGGACTAAGAAATGTAAAACACGTTAAAGTAAAATTACAGATACTCGCTCACCGAAGCCCTTAAATAGAGAAGACGCAACGTTTCCAGACAGGCTCGGTCTTCTCTTTATGGCGAAACTCTCTTTCTTCCCGCCTGGGCCGAATCGCGTCATTAATTGGCGCAGAGAGGTGGTAAACTCCGTGAAACTTGTTATCTCTCCTGGTGCAGTCGGCTACGCCTCCATTTGTTTTCTTAGTGAAGCAATGTCTCGGAGTAACGCGAAACGTATGTATTTAAAATACTGGGTGTTTTCTCGTTGCATTTGTGTACATTATTTTACCGGTTTTATTACTATATTAATATTTGCAGCAGACGCTGGTAAATCACACCTCACAAGATTTTTGTGGAGTTCACTCGGCAAATGGTTCTTAATCTTTAAATGGCGATCTTACAAATATTGAGGCAGTAAACCTTAAACGATCGAAGAAAAAAAACACACACATAATCAGAGTTCACACAACCTAACATTTAATACATACGCCTTGCACTTGACGTCATGCAGCGAAGGACGGGGCACTGCGCCATGCAGGTGGTGTACTTCACGCCGCGCGGATGCGCTTACCAAGGCGTAGGATGGCGTTAACTGCCCGGAAATGCGCTGGGATGCACCATATCATTCATAAAGGTAATAAGTTGTGTTACATGTGAACTTTCGAAAACGTGCCGAGCTGACGATGATGACGTTCAGACTTCTTCGGCACCGGTGCGATTGCACTACGAGCAGAAAGTTTTCATAAGCCGCCGACAAAGTTTTGACGCAAAGTGCTGTAGGGACGCACCCCTCCCTTCAGGAAAAAAATCGTGCGTTTTAAAAATTTACAAGCAGCTCTAGGAGTCGCTTGTAGAAAAATGTTTATGATTTTCGAAATATTACGGAATTTTCGTAGACCGCGTTTCCCCCCTCCGCAACGAAGAAGCCGCTACTGCGCCTGCGCGCCGATGGCCTTGACTATAGGAGTGCCGGGTACCGTAACGGATTGCGGAGGGCGCTGCGGGACGGCCAAAACGGTCTACGAAAACTCCCTACTTATAAACAACGCAATGTTACCGCCTAAATCCTGAAACAAGGATAAATCAAATAACGGACAAGACAACACTCATTGTCTCAAGGTTTATACTATGATGTTTCCTAACCGGCTCGCGTGCATACTTTCGCTCCTTGCAAATGTTCCCGTCTCGCGGACGGAACACACCGATGCCCCGGGGGCGGTGTCTCGGCCAGCTTGCAACACAGGGGCCGCAGTCAACCGATCGCCGTGTGGCCGGGCTCGCGGCGCGACAGTCGCTCGTACTAGGCCAGAAGCCCCGAACGTGCGCTCGAAGCGTGGAAACGGCGTGATGTAACGAAAGGCAAAGGGCACCTACACCACGAACAGGCGAAAGCCGATGCAAAGGCATGCGCGAACGTAAACAACGGTAGAAAAGTGCCATCGCTCGCCACTATGATATGCGCTCTACAAACTCAGTAATCCGCGGCCGCATCCCGTTCATGCCGCTCATTTTTTCCTGACTTGACGGCTACTCTGTCTCGCGGGACATGACGACGAAACTATCGTCGAGATACGTAGTAATCGCTATAGGGCCGTCGAGGCAACCCCCTGCATGGTGTTCACCGGTGTTCGACGCCATCATGTGACGTTGGTGCAAAGCATTTACAGAACTGTTATCATCTTCGTTTAATGATCATAGAAACGAAGAAGAGAAAAAAAGCCTGCTAGACATCACTATTCCCGGAGACTACAGAACATACAAAGCAAAAGAAACAACGAAAAAAGACTAATATTTATATATTAAAATAGATAGCCAATTCATGTTATCGCACTCTGTAGCCAAATATAAAAAAAAAGGAGTTTGCGTAAAGTGCACTTGGTTACTGCGCTTACCTCCGTAAGCAATGAGCTGCCGTGACGATCCAACGTTTGTTGAGGATAGTCCCTCCGCAGAAATGTTGTCCATAAAGTCGAACAGATGCCTGGAAGAAGAAAACCCTTTGAGAAACAAAATCTTAACTGTTAAATACAAAACACCCTCATCGGCGTGGTTGCTGATGTCAGCCCGCTCCTTGTTTTAAAGGCGGAAGTGTAATCAGGGCCGTCGCATGAACTATATTTTAAAGCAGCTTTCAATGATTTTATGACTTAACCAATATTAAAAAAAGAAAAAAAACTTGACAAAGCAAGCATTAGTTGTAAAACACCGAAAAAGGTTTTCCACGTCGGACAGGGACAGAGAAACTATAGTAAGGTACAGATAAAGAAGGTAGGGCGAGGGAATGGAAGGCCGGGTAGAAGAAAGCAGACGGAACGTTTGAGGAGAGGTGGAAACCTCCTCCTTTCTCCAGAGTTCTGTCTGCTCCCTCCTCCCCTTTCTCATTTCCCTACCTTCTTGAGTTGCAGGAGACTATAGATGTTATCACGAGAATGAAGAAATATGTACGCGACAGCGTCAAAATATTCGAGAGTGCCAGCCGCTACTTAGAAACAGTAAAGGAATACTTACAATCCACGGGAATTCTCCATCGTAGGCGTCGTCACCACCAACGATTCTGCCGTCCCTGATCTTCTGTCGACCGCAATCCGATAGCGAAGGAAGGGTTGAAACTAAGTAAAAATAAAAAAAAATAGTTAATTAGATTGGTACACTAGTTGTTGGTTAGTGAAGCTAAGCAATATCTTTGAAATTATTTCATGGTTGATTAGAATGAACGTTGCACTTTATCAGAGGGAAAGACAAGATTAATTAATTATGTGGTGGACATTGAAAGCAACGCCCCTTCATGAAACGCCATTTCATCGTGGCCGTTTCATCAAAAACCGCCTAATCAGTACAGGCTCCAGTAGTATCGATTCTCATCGGTTTATATATTTTGAATGTATGGATGCTAATGGATGTACACTTTACAACTGGTGGTATCATGCGCTACCTAGCATAGAAACCTAAATACCAAAGTATCAATTAGATGTTACTACGTTAAGTGAAAAAGGAAGTGCAGAAAAATTTAATAGTGCCATTTTTTTATTTGGCCATATATTTACTCTTTCGAACACTACTACCCGTTTTCCTTTTCAAGTAGACTACCTAGCATAACAAGGTCATGCTCATCATGAGCGATTGCAAAATGATTGTTAGATTCGGTAGTGTCTATTTTCCCGGGATCCTAAAGAATGATTTCCTGAAATATTATCGACAATCGCCTCCCAATAGCGGTGACAACCTGTGTATCAAACGACGTTTCATCGACAGAGTGTTTCAGCGACAGTTCAGACTAACTTTTTTTTTGTAATTAGCTTTTTATGTTTTATTTTGCAATAAGTTTTTTAGGCTGCCGCCGCAAAGCGGCTTGTACGGGTGGGCCAGGTGGGTTAATATTTGTTGTAATGAGCCGCCGCGGACTGTCGCTGCGAAGTGGCGTACACAGGTGGGCCGGGTAGGCAACACACGCCAGAGTGATACACGTGCGACAAAATGTCCCTACAGCGTGCAATTCACTTAACGAGTCTCGGCGAAACCTGTCGAGGAAGCCAGTGTTCATGAAATGTGTACCTCCGAAAACGTGTCCGTGAAACGTGTTTCTGCGAAGTGCCGAGAGAATAAGGAAGGCAGTAATCTGCCGGTAGTTTGCCTCGTGATTTCAGACATCAAATGAGAGGCCACTGCCGGTAGAATTTCGCGGAAATTATTCTCCTAGCTTCCGGGCGAATAGAGAGTGTTTTAAAATATCCTTTGCTTTTCAAAAAGAACTAGTGTTCAGATATAATAGTGAAAAAGAAAGCGTCAACATGCCACACTAAGACCCTGTAAATAACGTACATGCGACCTGATTACTCTAATTGAAGTAATGCCAACTTGTCCACTAACGTACCACATTTTGGTTCCAAAACCCAGAATGAGCTCAATAAACAAGGTCATAAAAATCAGATCCAATAGCCGAAGCTCACTCAGTGACGGGACGAAAACTGACGAACAACACGTCCCGCAAGCGAAACCAATAACAAAAGCATTAGGTATTGATTAACAAAATGAACATACCGCCCACAAAACGACATATAAATTAACCTCCTGACAGTTTTCGATTTAACTGGCGATCTAACATTCAACAGATGAAATTGCACAAGTAAACTGCGATCAGAAACCAACAATGCACACACAGAACTCTCAGGTGAAACAACAGTACAAGAACTGAAGGAGATGATCAAACGTTAGGGTGGCTCACAGGGTCGGCTGACCATTGTTGACCTAAACGTTTAGACAAAGACCTCGAGAAGGTATAATCGTGTAGCCTGATCGAACTACAGCGACATAATCATGTATTTACTTTTCAATACGGTCAGCTCACTAGGGTCATTTATCTTGTCAGACAGAACATCTAGACCCACTAAAGGGAGGAAGCAGGAATTCTGCTTGTCAACCGCTGTCCAAAGCCGCACCTACCACAATATGCGACTTCCAAGAACATAGCCGGACGTCCAAGAGAGAGCACGACGCAGATAAGCAGGACTTGGAAGGAGAACACGCCTTCGGGTGTCAGCAATTATTAAAGGCTTTATCACAGCAAAACATGACTATAAAAACCTAGAAAACGTGAAGACTGCGTTACCATCGGAGGCTTTTTCTTAGTTAGAGGTCTACTTCAACACCGGCGAACATTTCGAGCCAGAAAACGCTGACTACTAACACAAACCAGCGAAGGTATATTTGAATTTAAAAACAATCATAATCACGATGCTGAGCGAGACACGAGACACCGCCGACTGCAGGCCACGCGTAAACAGTACGTTTCACGAAATAATGAATGAAAGAAAGTTCGGTAAGATGGTTGCCTCAATTGTGTCTTTGAAATGAGCAGACGAAAAGCGAGGTTGAAACGTGGTAGAATTATCGATTACAATGAGCCAAAGCGACGAAAAGGTCGAATACAGATATCGTCAAGGATTGAGAAGCAGCAATGTAAGATACAGGAAGAACTCGATCACAACAGGATGAAAAAAGCAGCGGAACAAAAAGTATCTGCTACAAAGTAAGAGGACAGATCAATAAATGGTAACACCAAGAAGGCGGGCCGCGGAAAGAAGTAACACCTAGAGGCGACTGACTCAGTCCATATCCAAACCACCCGGCCGCCAGAGAAAGCCTCTGGAATTATCTCACTTTGCAAGACCTGATTGAAAGAACCGCAACCGGGCTTCTAAAACAGGAACACGAAAAGTGCACAAATATGATAAGTTCAAGTAATGGTAAGTAAGTGAGTAAGAGCTATACGTCCGTCTCGCAAGTCGCACGCACTATGGTTTAGGTAGGATCTACTACATTATGTTATTGGTAACGAGAAGACTGATAGAACCGCAAAAGCTGCCGAGGGAAACATAAAAAAAAGTAGTGGTTTCGGCTCCAACTTCGACGAGCGGCCAGGAAAAAAACGACGACACAGTGCTTGTCTTTACGAATCCCAACATCGTATTTAAATCGCCTTGAATCCTTGACGATCCCGCACACCCTATTTTCTGAACCGCATTGGAAGAGCGACGAGACTGTAGAACATGCAACGCACCAAAAGCGATAAAACACCTGGTCATGGTTTGCACTCACAGCGTCAACGAGCAAATGGCCTAATTAGCAGGTCAAAACAAGATAGACTTTCAAAATGTGACCACTAAAAAAAATCGATAACTTGATTGAATATTTAATCCGACCGTCATACCGAAGCGCAGTACAACGTACCGTCGAAGTGTACTCTTCCTGCATATAGAACGGTCATGTGTTTAACCCCGCAGGGAGCCACAGTTTCAGCGAACGGGAGGACATCCGACCAATATGGCATAATATTTTGCTTTATCCCTGAAAAAGAGCTACCACCGTGTTCTACGTTTCTTTCTTTTTTTTACCTTTCAGCGTAATGGAAGTTATAAAAGGCGCTGCATATGGACGTGAATAAGATATGCTACAGATTTTTCTTATTTCGCTCAAACTGAACAAAGCGGAAACCTTATTGCGGTGACGATCTTCCGAACTGTATCGCGAAAAGTGTTAACTTTCCTCCAAGAAAAGGAGTCAGGTATCCAAATAACCACACCACACCGCTGTTCGTCACTGATGTCAGACCGATATTTCCTTTCTAGTGATATACAGATTGCTCATTTGTCTTACAGGAGACAAACGGTCGGCGAATAGAACAGCAATGAGTGCCAACTTTTAAGATATTTGAAATAAAGATTATTAATTAAATGAGAACAGCCAACGAAGAACATCAAAGCAAAATATGGGGAGATGATCTGATATGAGTGGAGTTTGTGAAGCGGTGGGAAATCAGACAAGGACGCCTTGTGCCCTTGTGCAAAAAATAGCTTTAGGAAAATACATAATTTAAAGATAAACTAAGCTTGTGCGGATTATAGGACGACAATCAGGTATTGCGGAGGGTACAGAAAAGTTCGAACGTAGGCGCTTCAGCACGCCTCCCAAAAAAAAAGAAACAAAAACAAATAAAGGCAGGTAAAATAACATCGACTAACCTTAACTGGGAGGTTCAGTCAGATTTAGTATAACAATTAAACATATTGACATGACTGAAACAACAAACACATATGAAAGAAACCTTTAAGGTGGCCTTGCGTGTTGCGTACCACTGCAAATGCCCAGCAGGGGAAGTTATTTATTTACAAAAAGCGCCGTACGGATAGATAATAAATAAACCCGGAAGGGGGGAATTGTGCAGCAGTGCATAAAGCATCATGATGCGCTGACAGGCTTTAGTCCGTGACCGAGACGATTGTCTTTCCACCCCGGTTAGCTTATGGCGGCAGCCGAGTCCTCTCTTGGAAAAGAGGGAAAGCGAGTGTCCTCAGCCTGGAAGCAGGAACTGTTGCGAATGCGCGCCTGTTTTGTCCGGGCGGATTTACTCGCCTCCGTGGACGTGATGGAAGCTAACCAGAAGCAACGCCGCCCCTCATATACGCGCATTAAAACGAGGAACTGATGGCTCTGCTCAGCCACGCATAGACAACACGCAACACGAAAACGACAATTACCCATAAATGCAAGCTATGTACGGGTGCGGAAATGGCGGGATAAAGCTCCGAGAAAAAAACATACACACACAGAAACTTGGAAGTAACGCGTCGTGGCCACAGAATTTCAAGGCAACAATATGGAATACAGAATTCTTTGCTGACACTAAAACTTTTTTGCACATAGTGAAAAATATATAGATATATATTGCAAAACAAGCTGGGACATAAATATCGAACTCTTGGCTTAGCTGTAGTTCTGCTAATTTCAATTTTATCTTCCGTAAGTGGCAAGTGCGAAGATATTCCACAGACGAAAAAAAACGCAACTTAGTGTTCAATTTCCAAAATCATTAAAACAATCTCGCTGCAAAAAAAGAAAAAATGCCGCCTTCGGGAAGATGAAATAAACAGTAATACTCAAATTACCTATACAATAAAAAAATGATGCGGTCTTACCCGACACAGAAAGGTGAGTTGTCCACGCAAATACAGCAGCGATGATCCAGACGCGGCACGAAGCGCACGGACACCACACACTCGGCATCCCGCACGATGCGAAGAACTTTCCCTTTGCAATGTCAGTCACGTCCGTAGAACACAGCTTCTCGTCCTCGCCCAGAGAGAAGAGACACTTCCGGAGAAAGTAATGTCTCAATTCACCTGCGAATGACCGACCGTCGCCCTTATCAAAAACAGGAAACGTGTTTGTTTGGCTGTGAAAACGATGTTTCTGTGTTCTTCGACAGGATTCGTCATCGGGCATGCTGGCTGTCGGGGGGATCGTCACCAGGAGGCGGTTTTGCGCGTGAAGAGGGAGGGGGGGATTACAAGGCGAAGGGAGAGAGTAAGCCGGGAGGAGTGCAGCGGGGACTTCGACCCACTGACCCCGATTTTTGGAAGCGGTGGCAAGTGCCAAGCCAGGCAGCCGCTGTCCGGACAACTCTCTCCAATCTTGTAAAAAAAAAAAAAAAAAGAAAAGCCGTGGTTGCGGGGTGTGCCGCCGGCGTCGTTACTGCGGGGAAGGTTAGGAAAGTCAAGCGTTAGCAGTTACCTCTTCTAGCTGGAGGGAAAGGAGGGGCACGTAGAAAGTTTGTACGCGTCATCCTATTGTTCCCTCTCAGGAGAAAAACTGAAAGTGAGAACAAACTTATTCACTTATGTTTCGTTTTTATTTTCTTTCATTACTTTTTTTTTTTTTCTTATTGGTTACGCGGTTGGTTGTTCAAGGTCCAGTTTTTTGTTTGCATCCTGAAGGTCACCCGTGTCTGTATTGATGAGTTCGTGACCTTGTTTGCCCCAAAAAGTTGAAGGCCTATTTAGTGGATTTAGATTTAACACAACAAATCTTCTTACAAAAAAAAAGAAAGAAGAAATCCGTTAGAAGTTTTGATGGTGTAGACTGAGGTCACGTAGCCGGCAAGCGAGAGAAAGGAACGAGGGACGTCAATGGTATTGTGTAATCCCAACACCCGTCATGATTATGGCGCCACGACACCTTTTTCGTGAAAATATATTGTATTTTTTTAGTTTGTTTTAGTATTCAAATAAAAAACTTAGAAAAAATATTCCGACAAACTGGCAGCAGTTTAAGGAAGAGCGCTGGTTAAACATAATGCCATTTGGTTCTTCCTTTTAGAATGCGTTTCGGCTACAACGTCCCTTTTTAAAAAAATTTCCTGCACCGACATATGGGCTTAAATGTATTCCTGATGTACGAGCTTTTCGGTCACAGTCATTATCAAGCAGATGCGCATTGTTTCGTTTGATGTTTTTGACTTACAAGGGGACTGGACGCATAAGCAGCCCACCTTGATTTGATAGAAGCATAAGCCTTCCACCAATTCTTAGCCAGTTTTATTTTGAAGACACGTGGTTTTCGGCTTCTGATCTTGCAGTGATCTGAATACGCGTATTTAAAATAAGGCTACTCACGCCGTGTACGAAGAAGTAATCGTTGAAAATAATAAGTTTGCCTGTACCTATGTATATGCAGCAAGAAGTCCGTCAATGAACGCCTGATGTCTCAACTGCAGATATGCAATTTAGCCAGTCCAGTGCAGTTGCTATCCAGAAGTCTTTAACATGCACCACGCCGTAGTGATACACGACCGCACGCCGGTACGAATCTCATCCAGACGGAAACGGGCAGGTGTCAAAATTGAGGCCAAGATCTTTGGGCTCTGCAGCACGAGCTTCCGCTCCACGTGCTGGTGTGCGCTACCCCCCTCGGATACCTTTCCATCTAATTGTGTCAGGTTCGATGCCGCGCCGGGGTTAAATGCTAAGTCAGAAATTAGATGTTCTCCCTTCTCTCTATTACCCAATTTTCTCGGGTTACACTTGGACGCCTTAAATATTTTAATGCTTTCACTGAATTGTTACGTTGGAGATTAGGTTAGCCCACGTTCAGCGTGTTGTTTATTATGTGTCTGCATTTCGTAGCACGTTCTTAGAAACGACCTGAGCCTTCTTGTCCAAAAGTGTATCATATTTACTAATACGATGGGCCTGAATGAAGTTCGCATTATTATCGCGAAGAAAAAAAAATAGCTGCGATCACGAGCGTCGTTGTTGAGGTAACTTCATCTACACATATGCATCACTTAGGTGACAGACTTCCCCCATTGATTTATTAAGTGGTGAATAACCGGGTTGTAGAAGTCCTCATTTTTACTCTGAGGAAGTGTTCCACCTAGAGTCTTAGACAACCGCCTCGTCATCGTTGTGGAAATGCTTGCCGCGCAATGGATTTTTCATTAGAAGCAGAGGTCACTAGGTGCAAGCACGGGTAAATTTTGCGTTTCAATTTTATAGCCCAAAGCAGCTGCATGCATTAGTGGTGCGTTTTGGTGAAGGAAACGCATCCCCTTGGTCAGCTTCCCGCGACATTTTCTAGTGAGGAAATCTCAGTAATAATTCCTTGTGGCTAATGCGGGAGACGACGGGGCGGAGGGCACGTGACATGTGGTCGACCGAATAGACACGAGCCGGCGCGTGAGAAGGCGTGCTGCGAGAGGCTGGGGCTGGGCAGGAACGATGGAACCGGTCTGGCCCATGACGATCCCCGGAGCGGTCCACCTGCGAGTTTTGGACCAGGACCAACGGCAACGACGTGCCCTGGCCATACTTGCCTAGGTCATGACAATCCCGGAGTGATTGCACAGCGAGAATCAGGCTATGATAGCCAGGAAATGCCAGCCTACGCGGCGCTGGCATGGGAAAGACTCTCCCCAGGCTTGGACAAGTCATCATCACTGCGAGACCTGAACGACGGTCGACAACCAGGGTCGGCAGGCCCGGACTGCTAAAGCTCGAGGACGGGCAACCGAGAAATACAGTGAACTCATTCGCTGTCTTCTTATTGTGTTGTGTGTGTCACTTCTTGGGAGACGAGCGAAGCACAGACCGACCGGGCGGCGATTGTTATAGAGCGACCCCACACTCTTGGGTCCTCATGGGCCATATCTATCAGGTGCACACCATTGCAGTTCCAATAACGTTAATAACCTTCTTTTTCGACGGTGCTGAATCCGCGTGCTTTAACTGCTCGCTTTGTTTGTTTGTCTTAATGTCGTAAAGGTACACCGAATACTCAACCACACTGATCAGGCGGTTTAATAAGTAGTCGTAGTCGGCTTTTTCAAAACTGCAGTTTTTCCACTGTAAAACTTTTCGGCACTGTCTTTTTTTTTTACATGGGCGTGATCTGCGGGGGAATTCAGCAGGCAAGGATCTTTTTCATGCCCGAATAATTGGACGTCCGCAACTTATTTGGCAGTGCTGGAGGGGCATTTTCAACGTGGCGGGTGAACGAGGACGCGAGTTTGTCACTCAAAGCAATTTTATTTTGTGATATTCTCTACCCAGAGCTCGCCATTAATATAGACAAGAACTAGGCTCTGGATGTGTGCCCATTAAATTAGTTTCCATCATAAATGAAGAACATTATAATTAAATGCTCAAAGCTGATGGTGATCAAGAATCATCTAGTTTCAGTTCTGTGTGAACAAGTCAATTGTGTTCTGTTCCTTTGCATATTGGTAATTCATCACGAATCTCAATACCGAAACTAAGAACTAGCATTTAAAACTAATTTACTATTTGATAGCCGGAATTCGTGCCGGGACCCTTCTTGCGAGTTTGTATGGGCTGAGACAGTATTTTCCAGCTTACTCGGGTTCTCTGGCGCTGTGATAGACCATGGTTCCAGAGCAACCTGTAAAATAAGCTGCATACATTTGTTGGTACTCAATTTGGCGCAGGGCGCATACGGGTATTTATTCGCACTTAAGACAAAATGCTGGCTGTCGGTGGACACAAGTGTAGACGTTTAGGACTCGGAGTGTGAGCAAGAAAGCCTACTTTGTTCCGTTCTTCGATAAAATGGGAAGACAGAGGTGACTGGGCCGGGGCGTGACAACGTGGGAGGTCCGCGGCCGGCGAGACCGCAGAGATGTCCTGTGGTGACGAGGGTTCCCTTTCCTCTCGCGGGATCTTGAAGGGGAACCTCCCTGCCACTTCAGGGGCTACATTAGCCGATGCTCGGACTTCTACAGACTCCTTTCTTCTCAGTGATCTTAACCGAAAGAACACGCCCCGACCGCCCCCGACCGCCAAGTAGGTATATCCGGTATGGGCGACGAGAAAATATTCAAACGTTTCAACCTGCGAATAGTAAAAAAATAGAGGGGAGACAATATGAGAATGGGTGACGGTCACGCTTATCTCCTAAATGCATTCTATGGCGTGGCGACGGCAAAACAATGTTTTGGCCCATACTGGAAGTGAAGATATTTCAGGATGGCGGCACCCTTGTGAAAAGGGTCTATAAACGTCTTCTTTCCTTCGTGAACGCTTCTTCAGCCTCTTCGGAGTCTTGCGCTCGGAAGCGAGGGGATGCTCGGCCCGGAACCATAATAAATGGATGGCAGCGGTGGGATAGTCTGTGCAGAGTCCGGGTCGCTGTGTTGGTGAGTATTCAGCTTTCTCTTGGGGTTTGCTAGGTTTCAGTAGATGGTGAAGTTTGCTTAAACGTGGAGGTTGAGATGCCGGGGTAGTTGGTTTTATTTGAGCACTTCTCGGCACAGAGTAAGGTGAAAGATTGTCACTCGAGAACAGCCATGGATCTGAACAACTTGCTTAGAACAGATCTGATTCATCTGAGTAAAGAATTGGAGTTCGATTTGGGGGGAGTGCAAAGAAAACCTCTCATAATCGAGGCGATTCGGGCGAGTGGTGCCGGCGGCGCGGAGCTTCGGGAGTTCTGGGAGCTAATCAAGGAGAGGGTTAAGAAGGAGGAGGGAAAAGAAGAAAGAGAAAGAGCGTCTGTACCGCAGAGAATTGGAGGAAAGAGAGCTCATAAAAAATAAGAAGGAGGGTCTCTACTGCTGGAAGTCAGAGGGAAGGAGGGTAGAACGGAAGAAGTTAGGGCTTCAGATAGCCCAGGTGGAGGCAGAGCGTGCAGGCCGAGAGACACCGAGTTCTAGGGTCGGTCAAGCCACACTGCGACTGAAAATTAAAAAAAAAAAATCCCCAACATCCCTTAAAGATTAAAGATGATATCGGCTTGTTTCTTGTGAGTTTCAAAAGAACATGTCAGAAGATGGACTATCCGCAATGGCTCTTGACAGTACTGCCGTGCGAGCCCTCCGACGTGGTGGCCCGGCTGGAAAGAGCAGAGGCAAGCGATTATGACAACGTCAAATCGGCTCTCCTGGAGAAGTACCGCCTTTCCGCTGACGCCTTCCGTCGCCGATATCGCACTGACGGAAAGAAGTCGGATGAGTCCTTCGAATTCGCTTACAGCCGTAAATTGAACCTCGTAGTGTGGCTGAAAGGAGAGGAAGCTTTGGAAGACCAAGAGGAGGTGATCGAGTTTATCGGTCTCGAACAGTTTTATAACTGCTTTACGG